TGACAAAGCCACAGAGCTCTTGTAACAGCCAGAAAGCCGTGTGTGTACGCCACCCTCTCCTGCATTAATCTCTGAGTACATCCTCCTTTGTACACTCCACTGTAGTCACAGAGGACTCCTCATCATCCCTGGACTGTCCCAGGCACACCCCCACTCCTGAACCCTTGCACTGGTAACTCCCTGTTTGGAATGTTCTTTCCTTAGATAACCACGGTTCGCTCCCTGTCCCCACCAAGTCTTCACTCTGCAGTCACCTTCTCCATGAGCTCTACCCTGATCCCCAGGGGGAGTCTCCCCTGCTCCTCATCCCCTTTACTATGCTACGGTTTCGTTTCAAGAGCATTAATCATCTTCTACTATATTACATACTTGCCATTTTAAACATGTCTTCCCTTATTTGTGGCTCAGCTGGTAAAGAATCCACCTGCAATGCGGGAGACCTGGGTTTGATCCCTGGATTGGGAAGACCCCCTGGAGAAGGGAAAGGCAACCCACTCCAGCATCTTGGCCTAGAAAATGCCATGCACAGTTCAGGGGCTCGTAAAGAGTCAGACACGACTGAACGACTTTCACTTTCACTTTTCCCTTATTTGAATTTAATCTCTGTTGCTGCTGCTGCTGCTAAGTCACTTCAGTCGTGTCCAACTCTGTGTGATCCCATAGACGACAGCCCATCAGGCTTCCCCATCCCTGGGATTCTCCAGGCAAGAACACTGGAGTGGGTTGCCATTTCCTTCTCCAATGTGTGAAAGTGAAAAGTGAAAGTGAAGTCTCAGTCGTGTCCGACTCTTAGCGACCCCATGGACCGCAACCTACCAGGCTCCTCCATCCATGGGATTTTCCAGGCAAGAATACTGCAGTGGGGTGCCACTGCCTTCTCCTTAATCTCCATTAGGAGTAGGATTTTTGTCTGTTTTATTCACTCATGAATCCCCAGCATCTAAAGGAATACTGGGCACAGAATAAGCAATCCATAAATATTTGCTGCATGAACAAAATGAAGAATTACAGCAGAATTAACTGAGCAAAAGGATTATGCCGTCATTTAAGGCAAGTCAAACCCTCTATTTCAAATGCTAGACTCCCCATAACAATGAATTACTTGATACCACCACTTAAATGTTTAAAGAGATTAAAAAAAAAAACCTCTTCCAAATATTTCTTCTGTTTTAGCAAATGGCCCCACTATCTACCTAAGTGTACATAAGTCAGCCTTGATTGCCCTTCTCACCCTCCCATATCTAATCCATCAAGAAGTCCCATCAATTTTAACAAAAATTCAGCTCAGATTCGTTCACTTCTCTCTATCTCCACTGCTGTGACTCTAGTCCAAGCTATCACATGCTCCCACCAGTGCTATTCTGATAGCCTCCTATCTGTTCTCTCTGCTTCCCCTCGTCTTGCCTTCCTTTAATCCATTTCTTAAATAGCAGCAGCAGTGTTCTTTAAAATGTATGTAGGATCACAATACCCTTGGCTCCCATCTACACCTCAGCTCTGTCTATGCCATGCCACCCCTTGCTCATTACGCTACATCCACAAGGGCTGCTTTCAGCTCCTCCAATATGTCCTGTTCTTCATACATTCCACTTTCACCTCCCTCCACTCTGTATCTTTCATGTCTCAGTAGAGAAGGCTGTCTCCCTTTCTTATTTTACATCCCATTCCTCACTTCCTTTATGACTGGTTACCGTTTCTTCCCTCCAGGAAGGCAGGACTCACCTACCCTCATGTAAAAGGGAGGAGGCGGTGCCTCATGGCAGTGAGGAGAAGCGCCACAGGCCTTATCACTGCAGCACGCATCACCACCCCCTCCCTCTGGAGGCTCCCTCTTCCTATCGTTTCAAAAGAATGCAAGACAAGGTTTTGTTGACAAAACACATTATTTCCAACTGCTATGGACTGAACTGTGTCCTCCCCAAATCCATATGCTGAAGTCTGAATCTCAGTGTGATGGCATATGAAGATGAGAGCTTTGGGAGATAATTCGGTTTATAAAAAAAGGAAGAGATACCAGAACTCACTCTCTGCTACGTGGACACAAGAGCAAGCTGCCTGGTTCTCTCACAGCCAGGAAAAGAGCCTTCACCAGCACCCGGATCTCGGACTCCTAGCCTCCAGAATGTGAGAAGTAAGTTTCTGGGGTTGAAGCCCCCCAGACTATGGTGTTTTGTTACGGCAGCCTGCGCCAGGACACCAACCACACTGAGACGCTCCAGTCTCATGCGCAACATCACCAACCACAGGTGAAAAGACGCCTGAGACAGCTGTGTTCCTTGTCAAGACTCTGCTCCCAACCCACACTGCTCCACTGTCTGCCTGATGCTCTTTTCCAAAGAGCTACACTTGAAGACTGAACATGGCTAAAACCATCACTCTAGACACCTTCATCTACAAATACTCAGATGCTGGAAGACTTCGCACCTGGTACCAAAGGGCAGTAGGCAGCACCCTCCCCTCGGGCACCATCCGACCTACCCACCTCCAAGTGCTCAAATGGGTGAGTCAGGGACACCAAGACATACCAACAACTGTCTTTTATTCAGAAAGAATCACTGATGTTTGGTTGCCTCAGGCAATCTTCCCATGGGATTTTTGCCTAAATGAGAATCTCATATGCTTCTGTGTGAGTGCGCTCAGCCCTGTCTGACTCTCTGACCCCGTGGACAGTAGCCGGCCAGGCTCCTCTGTCCATGGGGTTCTCCAGACAAGAATACTGGAGTGGGCTGCGATTTCTTCCTCCAGAGGATCTTCCCAACCCAGGGATCGAACCCACATCTCCTGCATCTCCTGCACTGGCAGGCTGATTCTTTACCACGGTGCCACCTGGGAAGCTGAGAATCTCATAGGACTCTTAAACTACTGTTTTGTTTTGTTTTTTAATTTAAACTAGACATTTCAAAAAGCTCAGTCTTCACCATCCGCCCCGCCAAAACTAGCCTCTAATTGTAGATCAGAGTGATGCAGAAACTAGATCTCTTTGAGATATTCTGTTAGAATAATACTTTTAAACTTTCAGGAGCCAAGATGTTTTATAAAAGGGAACAGTCCAACACTGTATTTTTTTTAAAAATTCAGATCAGTTATAAAATCTGCATTATAAAGACAGGTATTTCTCTGATACTTCTACCTTGGAGATTTCAAAGCATAGTCTTTAAACTTAGTAGTTAATAACAACAAAAATGCCATGTCTATCTTGTAAAGAAAAATAAGGAAAAATAAACAAAGTAGATGCCGATAGGCTATGAAGGTCCACAACTCCACACCTACAAGAAAGAGCAACACCCACGCCAAATTACCAAAGGCATAAAAGTATTCATTTCTCAAGTCGTACTGGACTCTTTGCAACCCCATGGACTATAGCCCCCCCAGCTCCTCTGTCCATGGGATCCTCCAGGCAAGAATACTAGATTAGGTAGCCAGTCCGTTCTCCAGGGAATCTTCCCGACCCAGGGAGTGAACCCGGGTCTCCTGCACTGCAGGCAGATTCTTTACCATCTGAGCCACCAGGGGAGCCCAAAAGGCATAAAGCTTGGTTACGAAACAGAGAAAGGCGGGATTGGTATTTTGTTACTGGGACATCAAAGCTACTTTGAAATGGGGCCTGGACAATAAGTACAATGGCAATAGGATGCTTAAGCTAAAAAAACCCTCTGCATTTTAGAATCCATGATTCTAAGTATTAATCAATGCTGTGTTAAGTGCAACAGGGGTTACAAAGTGCTAGAAAAGGAAATGCTCCAGAGTACAAAGCTCTGAAGGCTCTAAAATAGTCCTAATGTTCAAATTTTTTTTAAGATTAACACTTTTTCATCTTTCCAATAATTTTGAAGAATTTCATGTGTTCAAAACCCAGTTCCAGCTTTGAGCACCTAGAGTCACTATGTGCTTCCCTCCTATATTGTCTACTGCAGAGGGAAGAGACAGGGGCTTACAGCTTTGGGAAAGCAAAATGCAGCTTCTTCTCATAAAAAGATTTTAAGCGCCTGGCCTAGACATTCAGAGCAGTCATTACAGAAATAAAGGGAAACATAAAGCAGCTTTCTCAATTCACTTAAAAACAGAAACTTCTGATGCACCTGCATACTTCTCCCAGAGAGATACAGTAACTTAGTCATAGTTACATGCAGAATTGGTGATTTTTGCCAGGAAATGAAACTCCTGTCGCCTCACGCTTAGTCCAGTGCCCTTTCTAATACACCAGGTTGCCTTCCATTTGGCGATCAAAGCAAACAAGACCTAAATAAGTGCGATGAACTGCAACCCTGCAAGGCCAAAAGAAGAATGTTCGGGAAAAGCTCGCCAACAAACCAAGCAGGATGCTTTACACTCAGCGGACTCTATTCGTCCATCACCCGGGCCCCTCCGAGCTTCTAACTGTGCCTTTTCAAGCCACCCCACTTTGTGAGTGCAGAAACAATCGTGTGTGTGTGTGTTTCTTCCCCAAGAAAGGTTAGGTCAAAAGAGAAAATGACCCGGTGGCTTTCTGCCCAGATTTTGGCGCAGTGGGATGATGCGGGGCTGCACCGACTGTGGAATCTTCCCACACTCCTGAGTAGTTAGGAGGAACCAGCAGAGGCATGTTTCATACACTCCCCAAATACCTGAGCTGGCAACAACAAAAGACATTCATAGATCTTAGCCCTGGGACAACAGCTTCTGTCAGTCAACTGCAGTTCTCATGACTGCACCGCTGTTACTTCACCTTCATACCAAAGAGCACATCACACCTGGACGAGCACTTGAGAAAACCACACAGACAAATTCACACAGCAGTGCGGCAATCCTGGCAGGGCTCCAATACTAATGATCAAGTATAATTTAGAGAAAACACAAAGACCTTACACAAGCATATCGCTCTTTAGCGTTTACAAGCAGATTTGACAAAGGACCTGGGGCCCCAGTAATCTGTTCTTGAGACCAACACCAAAAGGGTCATGAGTTTCCATGCAAGGGGAGTTTCCCTTTAAGGGGGCACAGAGCAGCATTTTCTCTCTTACCTGAAGCCAAAGGTCGGATCCACTCTTTGCTATTTAGGTCAAGTCTCCAGAGGTCATTGAAGGCAGCATTGCAACTGCTCTGGGTACAGCCTCCAAACACATACATAGACTGATTAGCATCATAATAGCACGCACCTAGAAAGAAAACAATTAATGAACAACTGGTGTCTAATTTTGAAGGTACTCTAGGACCTTAACTATAGTCCATATTTTTCAAAGATCAATTATTTCACACATAACATAACTGCTACCAGGTACCAACCTTTCCATAACCAGCCTTGTGTCTTCAAGTTCATCAACACTACATTAACCTTTAAACTAAGGACCAGAGAAAAGCGATGGAAATGTTATTTCTGAGCACACTAAGCAAGCTGACAATGATATTACATAAGACAGCATAATTCTAGCAAGAGCACACGAGAATTTAGATTCAGAGTGCTCAGTGAGTGACATGTCAGCGCAGCTCCATAGTTAATCTGAATTTGCATCATTACGCTCACGGGCTGGAAGAAGAGAGTCACTGCTGACAGAGGACTCAGTCTTCCCATTTCTCTCCACCACTCCTCCTATTGCTTCTGCTTTCAAATGAAATGTGCAGAAACAAAACAATAAACAAGACTTTATATGAAAGAGAATGACAGAAAACAATTTTAATCAATGCCACAAAGTAACCACACATGCAGAACCAATATAGCTTGGGGATCTCAGAGGTAGTACGCTCCCCAAACCACCAAGAGAAAAAACATGAACGTCATTAGGCTCCTAGGTGTATCCAAAAGCCACCAAGCTGACTGGTCGGTGCCGAATAGAAAACCAGCGCAGGAAGTAACACGTGAAAAGCACCAAGGTCGGCCTTCCCTGGTGGTATAGCGGATAGGAATCTGCCTGCCAATGCAGGAGACACGGGTTCAACCCCTGGTCCAGGAAGATTCCTCACGCCTCAGGCAACTACAGCCCCAGCACCACAACTACTGGAGCCTGCGAGATCCAGGGCCTGAGAGCCCCAGCTACTAAGCCCACACGCCCAGAGCCCTGCTCCACAAGAGAAGCCCACACACAGCAACAGAGGCCCAGCACAACCAAAAGTAAACACATACTTTAAATAAGTACACGAAAAGCACCGAGGTCTCTAAGAAAAGCCTGTTTAACTAGGTGATTATATACACCTCACCAGCGGACACTGTCCTGAAGGCAAGAGTCAATGGCTGTGAGAGGGGCTGTTGCCCTAACACCAGGATGACCAGAGCCAGGGCCTGGACAAGACACGCGGAAGCTCAGCTCCGCCCCCGTGCCTCTCCCCAGAGAGCGCATGCAGCCTCTATCCTGTGGCAGAGATGGCCATGCTCCTCACAGCTCTGCATTCACCATCCTGGGTTTTAGGGAAAAGAGCAGAGCAAAACTTTTCATTCATTCCATGCATATCAGTGGGAAAACCAGACCTCTCAAAGTCAAACTAGGCTAAAACAGTTAAGCATCATGTAAAAGGAAGTGGAAAGGGAAAAGAAATTCGGAGGCTCGGCCCATGGGGCAACAGGGCTCTGGGGCTCACCCAGCCCATCGGTAGGTCCGAATCAGTCTAGTCCACCACTGGTTTTAAAATCTCTTCTGGACTCTAGCTCAGAAAAAGGGAAATGCTACTGCTATAATCACCTTTTGTGATACACAAACGCTCTGGGAATAACACTCCTTTTTTACTTTTTCTAAACACAGCCCACTTGATAGGCCTTTAAGGACTCTCTACACTAGGGAAGCCACATCTGAAAGTTGGATGAGTTAAGAGAAAATAAAAGCAATGTGCTCAGTCACTTATACCCCGTAGTCTCAGCCAGGGGAAGGAGTAAATCCGAAACATCTGACCTCTAACACTGCACAATAACAGAGCTACAGGCTTTTCAAATTAACAAAGAAATTAAAGAAACTAGAGATATGAAAAAATGAAATGCCGTTTAATCATCAACAGGCTCACATCTGCAAAATACTTAATTACTTCCAGAACTCAACCATGCTACGATGGAATATGAAGGGTAACATGATTTCACACTTTCCACTACTTTCTTTCTTTCTTTTTCATTTTCTGATGGTGCCATGCAGCTTGAGGGATCTCAGTTCCTTGACTAAGGATTGAACCCAGGCCCCTGCAGTAAAAGCACAGAGTCATAACCACAGGGCTGCCAGGGAATTTCCCCACTGACTTTCTTTGCCTTGAAAATAACTTGCAATCCATATCTAAATCAGTTTTTACATTAACATCCCAACAAGAAAGGCTATTAAGGAGTGTAATCCTGGGAATTCCTTGGCAGTTCAGTGGTTAAGACTTCATGCTTTCACTGCCCACAAACTGTGCAGTGTGGCCCCCCGAAATGAAAAATTCTATGTAATTCCACTGCTCATATTTCAGAGTTGTTAAGCACCGCAAATAACAATAGATCAAGTTAGATAACATTCAACAAACAAAAAGGATAATTACTGAAGCCACACTTTAATCTCCACTAAAGCCATTAAGCTTCAAGTATCCTGGTCTTCTTATACCTTTTTTGAACTAGCTGCTCCAACAAATTGGGGCAATTTTAAATTGACCTGACTGGTGCCCAGCATAAGAGAACATTCTATTCCTCTGGATAATCTGGAACCCCAGAACAGAAATTAGCCATGTCCCTTGTCTTCTGAAACTCTAACTGAGGTCCATTATGACAATGTTTAATAAGACAAATCCATGATCTCATAACTAAAAGAGTCAGGGGCTCATTTATGTACCACTATTCCTCAAAGACCAACTCCTGGCAGCTGCTTCCTTCATGCAGTAAAAGAACACAGTGCCTTTATTTTTCAAAGAGGTAGCAAACATTCTGCTCTATTTGGATTGAAAACCTAGCCAGCAGCTGGCCCCGTGAGATCTTCACCACGTGTATTTTAATCCTATACTAAAATAAGGCAAATGGCATTTTCCTGCTTTCTTTGAGCAAACAAAGGCTTCTGGAAGAGGAAGGCACAGCCCAAACTCTATGCAAAGCTAATGGGACTGAAATGACAAGTTTCACACAGTGTATTTTCAACATCCAGCAGGCATTACCAACAAAGCTTGGAGAGGAAGAGAGTCGATTTAGGTAGCTATGTTTAGAACTCAGATGTAATGAGAATGAGAAAACAGCCATCAATAATACACTCACATATTTTAAGCATCCTACTGAACTGTGTTTGTCTGTTTTTATTTAAGGCGCCTACGTGTTGGCCTGAGTAGGGGTGGGGACCCAACAAACTCAACGGGCCTTTTAAACAAACTAAGAATCTCAGCAAACACCAGGGCTCAAGTAGGTATTTCCTTTTACCAAAGTTCTCCACCCAAACAGCACATTTTCCTTTCAGAACATACAGACCATTGGAATGTGCTATACAGAAGTTACTGTTCATTGTACGGTATGACTACCCTGCTAAAAAAAATATTAATAATATTGAGAATGTGACTGTTCCAATTGCTAAATCTCTTCAAATTTTCTGAAATGTGCTTGACTTCTCCGTGAACAACTACTAAAAGTCACATGCCTCAAGTTAAAACCTAGTAATTCCTATTTGAAGACAAATCAAATATTCACAATTACACACACAGTAAGCAAAGAGTTTTCAGTGTTCTGAATACTTTCCTACTATACTAAAATTCTCTAAAGTTCAAGGTCTTCCAGTTTCATATTTTTCATGGTGCCTGGTAGTCACTAAATGTTCACTGGACTCCAATTTTTGTACTTTCGGAGGTTAAATTCTCTTGTTTCCTCACTTGTCTCCAGGGAAAGGTCCTGAGGCATCTATCCCATGCTTAGGTTGTCACGTGTCTAGCATCTACAAGCCAGGACATACTTGATAAGGCCTGTAATTATATAACTATGGAATAAGACAGGTTGGTTATCCAGTCTGGGCCTGCTGGCTACTGCAGGAGCAAGGTTAGCATGTGTATGGAATGACCTGACCATATATGCAGCCTGAACACCAAAACATAATTCTGGGTACTCAACAGACCCCTATGTCAATCTGAAAGGGACATTCTACCTTAGTCAAGAGTTGCATGTCTGGCCATACAAACACTCATCAAATAACTAGGAGAACTGGCTTCATTTACTTCCCCTGCATTTTCTGTCTCGACTTTTACATAAGAAAGACACTCTATTGCTCATATCTTTGTTACACAATTCCACAGAATTAACTGATGTCAACTATGAGCCAGGAGTTGTGAGAGGTGCACAAGATGTCTAAGACATGGGACCAGAGTGTTCTCAGGCAGACAAGAACCTTGTGGAGGAGACACCATCATTATCCTATCATTTTGCAGGTTAAAACATATTTCTACAAGTGTTTCCTCAATTAAATTTCTTAGTAACCTGTGGCACAAACAGGATTTGTTATACACATTTTGTGGAAGTGTGGATTAGAGAAGCCAAGGAACTCGCTTCCCAAGTCTGAAGCTCTTCTTTGGCATGCAGTCTCTCTTACACAGATAATTATTGTAAAAGGCAGATGATAATAAACATTAAGAGGAAGGTATGAAGAGTCTATTAGGGCAGCATAAGCAGAGAAAGAGAAGAGCTTAATCTCCATCCTGGGGAATTTGAGAATAGTGTGAAAGGAGGTACATTTTGGCTTTGTCTCCTAGAAGGGTTTTAGAGGTCAGGACACTTTCTGTCATTTAACAAGGGGGAAATATGTCTAGGGGCTAAAAAGCAATGGGAGGGGAAGGGAAATGAAATCAGGGCATCTAAGCAAAGCCAAGAAGTAGGGAATTTCAGACAAACACAGAATCTTGTGTGGGTAGAGCCTGGCTGTGTAAAGATGCAACCGTGAGTCAGGCTGAACAGGTAAGCTGGGGCCCTGAAGGCCACCAGAGTGGAGACGTCCACCTGCAGCGCAGACAGGCTGAGGCTTCTCGGCAGAGGAATGATAAGGTTGGCTTTATGTCTTAGGTTTGCAGTGCTTCCCGGCTCAGGGCGCCTGTCATTTTGAACAGGTCAGTTCGTTGTGTGCAGGATCATCCCGTTCACTACAGGACATTCAGCAACCCTGGTCCTTGCCTACTATCCGCCTGCGGTACTTTCCAGTAGAAAGAGTATGCCATGACCTTGCATACGTCCGAAGGCCCCAGGAGGCGGCACTGTCCCCAGTTTTAGAGATGGCTACCAACAGTGTCTAGACCAGGTTCAGATGAAGAGAAAAGGTAAGAAGAGTGTTTAGAAAAGATTTAGGGGGACTTCCCTCTTGATCCTGTGGTTAATACTCCACACTTCTCCTGCAGGAGATACAAGTGTGATCTCTGGCTGGGGAAGTGAGATGCTGCAATGTGGGAGGGAGGGAGGTGGGGGAGGAAAGGAGGAAGAAGAGACTTAGGAAAGATGGGATGATTAAGTCATAAGTGTGAGTAATGGGAGTAAAAGGAAAGACATGAGACAGACTGCAGAGACAGAACAGAGTCAACAAGATTTGACTTTTGTTGTTGAGGGAAGGAGAGGAACTGAGCATGAAACCAAGATTTCAAGTCTGTATAATGGAGAGAATGATAATGCCATTCACTAAATTAAGCAGAGAAGAAGATTGGGGGGAACTACTGAATTTGGTGATGGACAAGGAAGCCTGGCATGATGTACTCCATGGGTTCTCAAAGAGTCGGACACGACTGAGCGACTGAACTGAACTGAATTGTAGGTTCTGCTCAAAATCCTTCAAGCTAGGCTTCAGCAGTATGTGAACTGAGAACTTCCAACTTCTAGCTGGGTTTAGAAAAAGCAGATGAGGGACTTCCCTGGTGGTCCAGTGGCTAACATTCTGTGCTCGCAATGCAAGGGGCCAGGGTTCAATCCCTGACCAGGGAACTAGATCCCACATACTGCAACTAATGATCCTGTGTGCTGCAACTAAGACCTGGTGCAGCCAAATAAAGAAGTGTAAAAAAAAAGAAAAAGCAGATGATCCAGAGATCAAATTGCCAACATTCGTTGGATCATGGAGAAAGCAAGGGAATTCCAGAAAAACAACTACTTCTGGTTCATTGACTACACAAGCCTTTGACTCTGTGGATCACAACAAACTGTGGAAAACTCCTAAACATATGGGCATATACACATTTTACAGATGAGGAAAGTGTCAATCAGAAGAGCCAAGGAAATTGCTTCCCAAGTAAAAAGTTTTTCTTTAGCATTCAGCCTCTCCTACATAGATAATCATGGTAAAATGCAGGTGGTAATAAACATTAAGAGACAGGCCGCCTCACACTTCTCTCGAGAAGTCTCTATGCAAGTCAAGAGGCAGCGGTCGGAATCAGACATGTAACAGTGACTCATTCACAATGTGGGAAGGAGCTCAACGAGGCTGCATATTGTCAGCCTGACTATTTACCTTACATGCAGAGTACATCACGTGAAATGCCGGGCGGGATTCATTCATTCACATTCGTTCATTCATTCCACATTCATCCACATGTGACATGCAGATGAATCACAAGCTGGAATCAAGAGTGCCAGGAGAAATATCAACAACCTCAGATATACAGATGATACCACTCAAATGGCAGAAAGTAAAGAGAAACTTGAGTTTCTTGATGATGGTGAAAGTGGAGAGTAAAAAAGCTGGCTTGAAACTCAACATTCAGAAAACTAACATCATGGCATCTGGTTCCATCACTTTATGGCAAACAGAAGTGAAAAAAGTTGAAGCAGTGACAGACTTTATTTTCGTGGGCTCCAAAATCACTGCAGATGGTGATTGCAGCCATGAAATTAAAAGATGCTTATTCCTTGAAAGAAAAGCTATGACAAACCTAGACAGTGTATTAAAAAGCAGAGACATCACTTTCCCAACAAAGGTCTATATAGTCAAAGCTATGGTTTTTCCAGTAGTTATGTATGGATGTGAGAATTGGACTATAAAGAAAGCTGAGCACAGAAGGATTGATGCTTTTGAACTGTGGTACTGGAGAAGACTGTTGAGAGTCTCCTGGACTGCAAGGAGATCAAACCAGTCAATCCTAAGGGAAATTAGTCCTGCATATTCATTGGAAGGACTGATGCTGAAGTTGAATACTTTGGCCACATGATGTGAAGAGCCGACTCTTTGGAAAAGACCCTGATGCTGGGAAAGAATGAAGGCAGGAAGAGAAGGGGACAACAGAGGACGAGATGGTTGGATGGCATCACCCATTCAATGGACATGAGTCTGAGCAAGTTCTGGGAGATGGTGAATGACAGGGAAGCCTGGTGTGCTGCATTCCATGGGGTGGCAGAGTTGGATACAACTAATCAATTAAACAACAACAAAGGGTTCCAACACTATTTGTTTTAAAACACCATCCTCCGGCTTCCGTGGTAGTCTAATATTTAAGAAGCCACCTGGCAAAGCAAGGGCCACCGGTTGGACCCCTGGTTTGGGAAGATCCCACATGCCTCAGAGCTACTAAGCCCATGCACCACAACCACTCAGCCTGCATCCTGGACCACTCAAGCCCCAGCTACGGAGCCGTGGCACTCAGAGCCGCTCTGTGCAACGGGAGAAGCCACCACCAACGAGAAGCCCGTACACCGCCACTAGAGTGAGCCTTCCTACGGCAGCAAAGACCCACCACAGCCAGTAACAGATAAATCTTGAAAAGAAAAAAAAAATCTTAAGAAACGTCCTGTTTTTAGAAATCTTGTCTCTGCTCCTCATTCCAAGCATGTGTAGATAACTGAAGTTACCCCTCCTTCAACAATAAATACTGGACCTAATATGGATCCTCCCGTAATTTCATTAAATATTTTCAGCAAGCATTCGTCTAAATTTTACTGCAAAGTATATGTCTATGAACTCCTGAAAACATTTGAGACTCTTTCAAAACTATTTTTATAATCATAATAAGTAGCAGCAGTTGAGGAAGTAGCCACTGTCTCTTCACTGTGCTGAGAGCTGCACTAATGGTGCCAAAGCAGTGCTGGGGAAACCGCGACAGCCCGTGCACGGCTCAGGACAAGGGAACTCACGCCACGACCACACACTCGCAGACGAAAACTAACGAAAGCCAGTTCTGACCTCACAGATCCCCCAAAGAGTCTCACAGACGCCTCCCTCCTACAAAGTCCAAGAATCGCACTTTCGAGATCTACTGCCCTGGGGGTTTACAACAGCATGAGTAAAAACAGCTCCCTGAGAGCACTGGAAACAGCCAACAGTTCGACTCATTCCTTTGATCTATTTAGATTCAGTTCAAAGACAATGATGAGCCATCATTTTTCACTGAACGCCTCTGGATATGAGAGTATGGGGTACCGTCTGGGGTGGGGTACCGTCTGGGGTAGTCAACCTCCAAGAGACCGCCAGGGATCCTCACTTCCTGGTATTACACCCTCGGGCAACCCCGTGTGACCTACAGGGTGGAGCAGAAAGGAAGGCATTCAGCAGAGATCAGGCTGCAGAAACACCGTGGCTGCCACCTCAGCGTCTCCGTCTCTCTTTCGGATCATTCATTCTGTGGGAAGCCAGCTGCCAAGCCGTGAGCAGCTCTGTGGAGGAGCCCACACAGTAAGGAACCGAGTCTTCTCTCAACCGCTACTAAGTGAGCTTGGAAACAGATTCCCCAGGCCTCAGCCAAGTGCGCAGGGGACGGGAGCCCTGACTGACAGGCTGACTGTAACCTCACAAGAGACCCTGAGTCAGAACGTGCCAGCTAAGCTACTCCCAAATTCTTGACCCTGAGGAACTCTGTGAGATAATAAATCTTGTTTTAAGTTGGTAACTTTGCAAGTAATGTTTATGTAACATAGATAACCAGTAACTCTCCTTCCCCTCAAATTTCAAAATACGGCTTAAAAAAAGAGACACAAATATAAAAGTTAACAGTGAAAGACAATATGAGTTAAGTGCCAAATCAGTATTCCAGACATAAGTTCAGATCAGGAAAAATTTTTCTGTGGCCCAGAGAGTTGAGAAAAGCTTTCCCCAAAGAGCTAGAACTTGAACTGAGCTTTCAAGAAGAAGCAGGCTTCAGCTAAGTGGACGAGAATACTCCAGAGAGGAAGAAATGAGTACAGCAAAGTGACAGCTTAAAAAGAGGGGAGCTCTAGGGAAAAGTCAGGAGACGAAGTAGTAAATGTAGAAATAAGTCAGCTTAAAGAGGGTTTTAAATATGACTAAGTTTAGCTTTTATCACTGGACAGACACTCAAGGTTTCTGAACAGGCAAGTAATATAACTACAGCAGTAATTCCAAACTTTCCAAAAGGCTTCCTTCTCTTCTCAATGAACTTTTGTAAAACCACTCATATATATACACCTTTACTGGCCTACAATACAACACATCTCAGTCTCACTTTGATGGATGGATATGAATCACCAATGGGCTTCCCCTGGTGGCTCAGCGGTAAAGAAGCCACCTCTGGAATGAAATGATATTGGCAAGTCCCTGGCGGTCCAGTGGTTAGGATTCAGTGCTCTCTTTGCTGGGGCCTGGGTTCAATCACTGGTCAGGGAACTAAGATCCCACATGGTGTCCCCAGGACACACTCAAAGGAAAAAATACATAAAGTGGCATCTATAAAAATCAGCTAAAATGGAGAGTTAATTCTAGAATAAGTCAAAAACGCTAAATTATATCTATTTGCCAGAACATTTTATTTATAATTTTATTACTTAAATTTGTATTTTATAATCAATATCCTTCATGTTCAAAATTTGTGTGTGACCCCAGTCAAATTCCGTGTTTGCTGAACACATACCATGCTAAAATAAAGAGTTCTTGGTGAACTGGCTACTCCCTAAACAGGATCACAGGAACACCCTCATGAGCACCTTTCCTTGGCTCTTCTGTTACCTGATGTCACGAGTTTAAAAGCCCAAGCACAACACCTTGATGTCCTTGGAGTACAGATACTAGAAAAATCCAACGAAAAAGCAAACATAAAATTACACCACAGTGCCTACAAAACATTTAGGCTCATGCTCTTCCCTAATTCTGGCTGCAAAATTAATATGAATCCTCATTTTATATTCTCTTCACTAAAAATGTCAGACAAAATACAAGCCTCAAAAGTAGTTTTGGAAACATGACTGCGGGCAAGATGGGACCTGTTTTCGCGATAAATACTTACTGTGTGAGAACCGCTGGGTGATGGGGGTCCCGGGATAAGGGTATGTCCGACTCTCCCACTGGATGTTCCCTTCCTGAACGGCCTTCATGAAACCATGGTAGCACTGGTGGGCTACACCTAAAGACAAAGTGACCAACGCCTCAGCCTGGACTCTTCACTCGTAAACCAAATTATAAGACTGAACCTACTGTCTCATCACTTTTGTAAGATGTAAGTTTCTTTGAGGAACTCCAAACTTCTTTGTTTTTTTTCATTCAAAGACAGAAAACAAAATCACGTAAGTTCAAAACTGGAAGATCTAATCTTCAGATTTTACCAAGGTTAAATGACTCCCTTAAGGTGACAAAATCGCCTCACACTTTAACTCTGCTCCTCTTACGTCACATCATGAGGAAACACATCAAAATAACTGGTGCTGTTTACCCCAAAACAAAGAGGCTTGGGAGATAATTTAGTTTTGCGAGAAAAAATACGGTAAAACAATCTCTGGAATATAACAGCTGTTCAGTAAATACCTACAGTTAGACCACGAATTCTCCGTATTAAACAAGGAGATAATAATTAGCTGGCAGTGGATTATGAAATGATGAATTTATAACTAAGGAAAGCTGTCTAAAAAAAAAAATCAGAGTTTTTACTATAATGCTAGATACATGTCATTATATACATGTCCAAACTCACAGAATGTACCCCCTAAAGTAAACCACAGATTTTGAGTGACAATGATACATCAATATTATCAACGCAGGATCAACTGTAAAATGTACCACCCTGGTGAGGATGCTGAAAGTGGGAGAGGCTGTGAGTGTCTGGGGGCAGAGGGTATATAGGAAATCTATGACCTGTGCAATTTTGCCATGAACCTAAAACAACTCTAAAAAAAATGAAGTCTATTTTTTAAAAAGTGAGAGCTTCATACTTCTGGAACAATCTGTTTTTCCAACACATGAAATTACTATCTTATTTCAAAGAGAAGCATTTTGAATGAAGTGTACAATCAATTATTTACATTTTGAAAGAATACCACTCTTGAATTTATGCCACCTTGAGGATCCTTAAGCAGGATCAGAGAACATGTTTTCCAGTGATGATCATTCTCCCCTGGCTGAACTCACAGATAAGAACTGGAATATGAAAAAGACACGGCCATTTTTAATGTGTGACCATACTGTCAACTATACACTGGTAAAGTAATGCAAATTTTCAAATCTTGGATTGAGATAAGGCAGTAATGAATAAAAGACAGATACGTAATGATGGGAGGGGAGAAAAAACTGTCCTAGCAGTGACTTCTCCCAGAAGATCTAAGACTGGGAATACTAGGTTAAGGTTCTTTTCTCTTAAAAAAAGAAAAAAAGATCGAAATGATAAGAATGCCAATAATAAATAAATATCTTTGATTAGATCACCACGCCTCATGTATGATTCTTCTTCCTTTATTTTCGAGGTAAAACTATCTACCTCCGTAGTGCAGGGAGCCAGTCTCTCCTGCGGAGGCTATTAATTCTGCAAACAGAAGCAGGTTGTACATACCAATGTTACCAGTTGTGAGCAGATGCGGGCAGGGCTGGGGGAAAGTTTCAACACAGCTGGTCCTTATTAGCCATCAAGGTTGGACTCTGGACAACTGATAAGGACCCTACTCCCCAGAGAACCACTCTGGTTCTAGGAAAGATTTTAAGACTGATTCTGATCTAAACATTTTTCCTCTCTCATATCTCTGGCTGCCTTGCTCACACCAGCAAACAAAAAGTCAATACAACCCTTGCTTTGATCAAAGATTATTCAACTGGCTTGGTCATCTTCATTAAAAAAAAGGCCCTTTCCCCCTAAAATGGAATGAAATAAAATAACTGTTATTAATTAAAAATACAGGGGACTGCCCTGACGGTCCAGTGGTTAAGATTTGACTCTCCAGCATAGTGGGTGCAGGTCTGATCCCTGGTCGGGGGGCTAAGACCCCACATACCTCACGGCCAAAACCAAAAAAACCAAAAACAGAAGCAATATTGTAACAATTCAATAAAGACTTTAAAAATGGCCCACATAAAAAAAATTTGAAAAAATATAGTATAACTAGTAACCTCAACATTTAGTTAAAGCTGAAATCTTGGTTAGAAAATGGAGGGGGAAAAAAAGGAGAAATTCATTTTAAAAAGTAAAATACATATATAGGATCTGGGCTATTGAGATAAAATCAAGCAGTAAGTGCTTTCATAACTCCACATCTGCCATAAACAGCTACTTTAAGCTATTCACAGTTTGCTATGAGGACTGTAAAGCAGTTACAATAGTCCTGACAATGATAAGAGTTACATGAAAGTTTTGCTCTTACTGTCAACCCATATTCATCCCTACTCTACCTATTCAAGAATAATACAATTTACCAGATCAACTCCAAGAATATGCAGGAAAAGAATCCTCATTTTAAAACTGCAAACTGGATTAAAAACTTCAGTATTCAAGTTGTTCATAAACCAGGCAGGATAAAGAGAAAAGGAAAATGTCCAGAGCTAACTGTCTGAGTTTTAGAACCACAATAAACGTAAGGGAGAAAAGAGAAAATGAAACTGAGAGATCAGAAGTCATTCAAAGAAACCTTAAATGAGTAAACAGACCTCCCGCGTCCCACAGTACCTTTAATAAGCCGGTACCACTGCTTGCAGACAAGGGCCGCAGTTTTGTGCTCCTGGTATGGGGAGAGGAAGGAGAGGATATACTCCAAAACTTCTTCTGGCAGCTCAGACATGGACCTGTTGTGTCGAGTCTCCTCAACCTCCAGCGCCGCGCGGGGCTCCTCATCTGGCTCCATCGTCCCTTCCAGCACGGTTTCCTCCTGGTCCACAGCCATGAAACTGTCATCTTCACTGTCAGAGGAGCTGGCCATGACATTCCACGTGGCGGCTACAGCAGGAGAGAAGCACATCAGTGTACTCTGTCTGAAGTTCTGAAACAGCTCAGACACACGCAGCCAAGCTGTTCACGATTTCTTTCAGGTGCTCAGATTGAAACCTGTCCTTTAGCACTTTCCCACACTAGGTGAGTTGTGAGCCTCCTTAATTTGCCACGTACAGCTCAAATACCAAGCCCATCCCAAATATCTAATAAATCTCTAGAAGTCTCTGATAGCAATTTTTCCCTCTTCGCTGAAAACCTAGAGTGCCAGCCACGTTCTGGTGCAACCACAAAACCGAAAGACTGGAGCTCAGCAACCCCTCTAACTCAGGGATGTGGTCGGCAATAACAAAGGGAACGGCAACTAGCTTCCCTCGGCCAGCAATGTGGTTCAAGACCTCAAACGCAGAAGAAGAAACTAACAGCACATCCTAAGAGAGTAAAGAGAACACTCTGAGGATATAGGAATAAGAAATGATAGCTTTTACACAAGACAGTTCACTTAAGAGGATAGTAAATATTCTAATAACAAGCTTAACTAGCTGTAATACCAAATACAAGGCAATATTTAAAACAGGAAACATCGAAACATATCCGAGGAGCCAAAAACTAAAAACAATATAAATACCCATCAACAAGAGAACAGATAGACTGTGCTACATTCAAACAGCAGGAAGGAAGGAACCACAGATTCACACATGGGTAAATCTTAATCCTGAGCAAAAGAAGACAGAAAAGTACATACTACATATCCATGTTTATATCAAATTGAACACCAGGCAAAAACAATTTATGTACAATATCTTAAAAACTGGAAAGAATGATCAGAGCAAGAAAAACATGAGTCAAAACTCATGAAATTGCTCCTAACATAATGCATCTGCCAAATTAGCTCATGATACTGCAATGCCTCCTAACCAAGTGGCTGCTGAGGAACCGATGGTGGTGAACAACCGGGGGCTACTGAGAAGCAGGGGAACAGCCTAATGCTCACGGTCGGGAGGGGGAGTGGTGCAGAGGAAGGGCAGCAGCAATCCCCTCCACTCTCTGGAAGCAGAGGACTGTGATGGGTGTACCACAAACTGTGTTAAATAAAAGATCCTAGATAGCCACCTCTGCTCTGCTTTGAGTGAACTCTTTTCCACACGCTTATCTTGCTAGAGGAAGGCCTCTCCATTTCCAGCCCTAACTCCTAGGCTGAAGAGTACAGTTACACATCAAAATGACTATACTACCCAGAGCAATCTACAGGATCGATGCAATCCCTATCAAGTCAACAAGGGCATTTTTCACAAAACTAGAACAAAATTCTTAAATTTTGTATAGACATAAAAGATCCTGAATAGCCAAAGCCATCTTGAGAAAGAAAAACAGAGCTGGAAGAATCAGGCTCCCTGAATACTCTCCACACTACAAAGCTACAGTAATCAAAACAGCACGGACCTGGCACAAAAACAGAAATATAGATCATTGGAACAGGATAGGAAGCTCAGAAATAAACCTATGCACCTCTGGTCCATTAATCTATGGCAAAGTGGTGCTGGGAAAACTGGACAGCTATATGCAAAACAAAAATGAGATTATAACACTCCTTAACACCATACAGAAACATAAACTCAAAATGGATCAAAGACAAATATAAGACCAGAAGGAAAACATAGTCAGACCACTTTTTGACATGAATCGCAGCAAGGTATTTTATCGAGCCATCCCCCAGAGTAATGGAAATAAAAACAAAAGTAAATAAGTGGGATCTAAGTAAATTCAGTTAACTTTTGCATAGCAAAGGAAACCATAAACAAAACAAAAAGACAACCTAGAGAATAGAAGAAAATATTTGCAAATAATGTGACTGACAAAGGGTTCAGTTCAGTTCGGTCGCTCAGTCGTATCTGACTTTGCAATCCCATGGCCTGCAGCACCCCAGGCCTCCCTGTCCATCACCAACTCCCGGAGCATGCTCAACTCATGGCCATCGAGTCAGTGATGCCATCCAACCATCTCATCCTCTGACGCCCCCTTCTCCTCTTGCCTTCAATCTTTCCCAGCATCAGGGTCTTTTCCAAAGAGTCAGTTCTTTGCATCAAGTGGCCAAAGTATTGGAGTTTCAGCTTTAGCATCAGTCCTTTCAATGAATATTCAGGACTGATTTCCTTTAAGATGAACTGGTTGGATCTCCTTGCAGTCCAAGGGACTCTCAAGAGTCTTCTCCAACACCACAGTTCAAAAGCATCGATTCTTTGGTGCTCAGCTTTCTTTATAGTCCAACTCTCATTTCCATACATGACTACTGGAAAAACCACAGCTTTGACTTAGATCCCACGGGAGTCACAAAAAGAAGATATGCCACTAATTCCTCTCAAAGAGATTAACCCAGTAAGAGTCAAAGACACAAAGAATACCAACACAAGACAGATTGTGGTACCAAACAAGAAGTTCTAGCAGCTCAGGGAAGGAAGAGATGGCTTCCAACTAGTTTGAAAAGGAAGTTACACAGAAGCAAGCCTTTGAATAATAGGGTTAGGGTTAGTCATCCCAAAGAATGAAATGGGGGAAGGTGGAAAGATGAAAGATTTTCAAGTTACTGTTTCCTGTACCGATGTTCTTTGTCACTTACAGAAGTACTTTTAGGACAAAAGGGCAAAAGCTATTTTTTGCGTGATGGGCATTTTATCACAAGTACAAACTACTTAATATCTTATGTACATTAACAGAAGTTCATAATCTGCAGACTCCTTAACTGACAGTCGATATTTTGACAAAAAAAAGTCTAGAAACAGAGAAATTTGGCATAACTATGGTTGCTATTAGCAAACTGTAAGCTATTTTGACAAGTAAATTCAGAGAGCTGTTTCTAGAAAGCATTCCAAGTTTAATAACAGATATCAGCTACAGTGAGGTTCTTTTTTTTAACGGTTAACTCATCTCTCTGTGTTATTTAAGAGTCCTTTTAATGAAATAGAAAAATGAAGTGTTTCCCCAAAGTACCCATCAGGATACTTTGGGCTGACGTTAAATGAAAGCGGTTCATGACTATCAGAGAACAGCAGCAGAAATGCGCCAGCTCTCAGGGCCACGGCCCGTATTCATATGCAGCCGGCGGATTTCACTGCATATAAATGGCCAAGGAAAATGTACTGGTTTCAATCAATGAAGATATTCTAGGTTCTGAAAATTCCATATATTCTAGGTTCAGCAAAATGTTTCATGTGGTATAAACTGAAAAAGTGTAACGGAACTTTAATACCCAAATTTGTATTTTGTGAGAGCTTGAATTTTTAGATTTTAAGTAATAACATACAAAGTACAGAACAATTCTAATTGTGTAATTTAACTATAACACTGATGTGAGACAAAAGGCTTTCATCGGAGTCCAGTATGAATCAGAGGAGAGTTAAGAGAGTAGGTGCATTAAAAGGTGCAGTTTTCTGGGCTTAGAAATTTTCTCTCGAAAATAATTATTTACGAAAGACAATGGAGAAGAGGCAGATAGCCACGCTGTAACAGCAGTTAACTGTATTAGCCCAGCGTGGGCCGCACCAGTGGCGAAGCTCACGGCACGGCCACCTCTCCCTCCATGCGTCCGCAGCACTGAAGACCTGCCTTCAAACTAGCGGTTACTGCACTGTTGTCTGCCTGCCTCCTCCTCTTCCCCAGGGCACAACAGGAAACAATTCATTTCTTGTATCCATATACACACTCAGCAAAGCTGCTGAATGAGTAAGCAGACATAGTCTCAGGAATTCATTTCAGAGTCAACAACAAAACCTAAATGTTCACTTCTAGATATTGTGATAAAAAACAGAATCTTCCTACCAAAAACTTAAATAAGACTAATAAAATCAGAGACTTCAGATGGTTAAAAGAAACTAGAGTAAAAATGGGGCATAAGGACTTCCCTGGTTGCCCAGTGGTTAAGACTCTGCACTTTCACTGCCGAAGGCATGGGTTCCATCCCTGGCTGGGGAACTAAAATCTTACAAGTTGCTTGCTGCTTCCAAAGAAATTTTAAAAAAAAAAAAAAATTAAAAGATAAAATGTACAGTTCCTAAAAAATCATTACTATATTTAAAATGTTCTGATTTTTTCTGCCGTTATATACCCTAACTCTGACAACAAGGGAGGAGTAAGGAAAATCCACTGCATGCCAACATTCTCTTGGCCTTTTGGGGAAAGCTTCTACTGCAGCGGTTCTCAGACCTCTGAATTTCACAGATCAGCAAGTTTTTTTGGACTGATCTAGGGTCAAAAATTTTTATTTTCCCAAGTAAGGCAAAAAAAATTCCAAAAGGCAAAAACAAAAAAACTACATACACACACACAAGTCCTACCACCTAATATCATCACAGTTTCATAAACAGGTGTTTAAAAACTCAAGCTGGAAAATCATAATCTCTGAATAACGGCTTTTACTTCCAAGAAAGGAAACCTGGACCTCCCTGGCGGTACAGTGGTTAAAGACCCACCTGCCAATGCAGGGGACATGGGTTCAACCCCTATTCTGGGAAGATTCTACGTGCCACAGGGCAACTAAGCTCATATGCCACAACTGAGCCCACGCGCTGCAACTACTGACGCCCATGCGCCCTAGAGCCCATGACCCACAGGGTCCTCTCTAAGTGAGAGAGACGCCCTCGCACCGTAAGGAGAGGGCAACCCTCCACTCGCCGCAACTAGAGAACGCCTGCATGCAGCCACGAAGACCCAGCACAGTCAGCAAAAAGAAACATTATAAACGCACGCATGCATAAACCCTCAAAGCAGTAAAAGCCTGGACCAAAGTTTTTGGGACTATGATTTCACTGCTATGTCATGATAGCAACATTTCATTTTGCTACTTATTTGATTTGTGAAAAAAATCCACAATTTAAACAAGTTATATAGTCTGAATTTATTAAGAGGCTAATTTAAATTAAAACTCCCAGTATGCTGGGAAACCATTTTCTAAAGAGAAATTTCCTAAAGAGACAATGATGGCTACTGGCAAGAATG